TATCTACAGTATGTTATAAATAGCATACATGCATATATTCCTTTTAGCTTTTGCCAAGCAAAAGCATCTGAATATTTCCATTACTTATTTGCTGAAAAGTATAATATTTAACATATATACTCATTAAAGGCTGCTGGTGTATGAAATTATATGGTGCTTAAAGGTTGGATGTTTTGATGAATGCAACCATGCTGTCTTCCTATTTGCAGAATGCATTGTCAAGGAATACAATTATGTGAATGTCTTGTTAAAAGAGTAGTTGCACTCATATTATTTCTCGTAAAAACATATCTTAAACATTATGCAGCGTTGGCAGCTGTGGATTATAGATAAGAAAGGCTTTGTAATACCAAAGAAAGTCATTTTCTTTACTATTACTTCTAAAATAAAGTAGAATAGAACCATGAGCATATTTTGCAAAATAATTGTAACGATTGTGAGTATAGATTCTTTATCAGCTGCACTTTCTATGTATACCATTTCTATAATGTATACTTGCATCTGCAAGATGTTCTTGTTTTAAAAAAATATTACTGTGCTCAAGTTTTCATGTAAAACAGATGCATATTTACCTGAAGCAATTTATATTCCTTTTTAAAGGCCTAAAGGCAATTTTATTATTTATTACACATTGGATATTTAAAAGCATATGGGAGTAGAAATAATGTCTTTCTAGCACAAACACAGTTTAGTTAAGTTTCATACAATTATTAAAAATAAATGCTATTGAAAATTAAAATAAGTTATTGGACAGATTTACCAGTGTTCAAGAAAACAAGTTAATATCAATGTGTACAGGACAAAATGCACTAAATGTTGTCTTAGGATTTTTATATAATTTGGTGACAACATTTGCACTGCGTAATATTATTCTGTGAGTGTTCAAACAGCATAGTATTGCTTACATACCCTTTGAATATAACTGTTACACAAGCCTGTCTGTCTCAAAATTTCTACATAAAACTTTTCCTGTAAAAATGCAATAACTGGAAGTAGAACCTGACATCCAAACATGCATGCACACAGAGATGAGTCAATACTAAAATGTATTGTTTGGCTTCCTTGCAATGCAGTGTTTAGTTAGCCAGACAAGCTAATAATACGTCTTGTCATAGATCTTATATATTGATTATACTTTAGCAATAAAATGGATGATGTATGAGATACTAAAACAGTGTTTAAATCTAAATGTGCACTCAAAACAGATACAAACATATTTAATATACTACTGTGTTACCTTTTATAGCTTATTATAGCATTGTCTAAAGTGTGAAGGCTTGGATATATCTGTAATTGAACAGTACACTGCTTGCATAATATAGCTTACACATATACTAGAAATTTTAATAATTTTTGTCCTTTTTTTAAGATCCACCCAGTCTCCCTACCTTACGTGAACTTGAGTGGATCCTCATCCTGGGGTCCAGTGTGGGCTGCTGTGCTGTGATGGAGCACCATCCATATGTGCATTATTTGTACAGCTCCCTTGTGTGCCCTGCAGAGGTGACGGGAGCCAGAATATGATGTCAATCCGGTCCAGGCACCTCTACAGGGCACATGTGGAAGCTGTAAGCAATGCAAGTATGGATGGAGCTCCCTTATGGCCATACTTCCAGCCCACCCCACCTCAAGCTGACAGGGCCAGGTAGCAAATTTTGAATACAAAAGGGAACAGAGCGCCACCTCCGTGTGTAAAAACGTTTATTACAATAAATAAAACAAGGGATAAAAGTACTCACAAACAAACGTTTTCATGCTTCTTGGCCGACCGCAGTCAGCCAAGATTGACGCGTTTCAGGGGCAAGCCCAACATCTGGATCCGCTAAGCCAACCTCCGGCACGCTACTTGCTGCTGTTCGGTCTATTCTTATAGATGCTGTGAGTGAATACGGGTGAGAACAGAAAAATGAGCAGAACAGAAAAATTGTTTAGAAAGTAGAAAAAAATTAATAGAAAATGATTGTGCGGAGCTAGCAGTGACTGCTTGCTCCGCCCAACTGTTTTCTGTTGGCCAGCGGTTCTGCTGCCGTCAAAAAAAAGAGAAAAAAACTCTCCTGGGCGCTCTGGGAGTCTCCCGCACCCAGCCGCCAAGGAGAGAAACACTGCTTTTCCTTGTTTTAGAAAAAAAATAGAAAAAAAATTTTGGGCCATAGGGATGCATCGCTAGATTCCTATTGGCTATTTCAATTTGCAATAGCCAATAGCAAACTAGCTATTGTATCCGACCTCTGCTGCTGTCAGTCAGTAGTGGTGGACCTGATGGAGAACTGCAGCAGAGGGCGGGTGCAATGCTAGCTTGCTATTGGCTATTGCAAATTGAAATAGCCAATAGGAATCTAGCAATTCCAATGGCCCCGTGTCAGAATAAAAAAAACTAAGAAAAAGCAGTATTTCTGTCTGGAGATCAGTGTCCCTGGTTAGCTGGTGACCAGGGACGCTGATCTCTCTGCAAGTGGCCGGAGCCAGCCGTAAGATCACGGTGGCTCCGCCCAACTGTCAGAAGGACCATGAGTACACATAGAACCGAATCCTTCAATAAAACCCAGTGTTGCCTAATGAATGCATCAAAAGCACGCTAAATATAACATATTTCTAAAACTTTTGTTAATAATGCTGAATATTTTAATGAAATTACTTAATACACTTCTGTTTGGCTTGATGCTTATGTAAATGCAAAATGTAACAATTGTTAAAAAAAATAGGTTGATAAAAACAGCTACATATTAGCCACATAATCATTTCCCCCGACATTGGTTTGTAAACACTGCTCTAATCAAATGGCATGTTCCTGCTAATCTGAAGAGTTTCATTTTATACAGCAAAAACATACAAGGACTTCCGGTTCCGGCGCCCGATGGAGTAGCGGTGTACGAAAGTGCTCCGTCCCGCTAATTACCGAACACATCCTAATACCGCTCTCACCCGGTCCTTTCTGCAGCCGAATCACCCGGGATCGATCAGTGGATGATGGACAAATTCTTATCGAGGCCGCAGTCAACTAGACGGAACATTCTTCCGCTCGAGACCTCTCCACGTGAATCTCCCGACATGGCGGACCGGAGCGAGCCATACAAGTACACAAAGATAATGTATTTTTACAGAATTTTCCACAATGTGATCTTGGAAAGATTAGAGTTAAATGTAAAAGAGCAACCAAGAAAGGTCTCTGGTGAAGTCATTTTGGTGGCCTGCAGAGGAAATAAATATTTGTGGTTGCTGCATAGAACTTACAGTAATCTATGATTTTAGGCTTGGTACAGCAGTCACTCATTACAGGGCTTTTAATAGTAGCAGAAATTCCTGTCTGTATTATTCTGGCACATTTTTGTAGGATGTCAGTATATAAATTAGTACACACACGTTTTGAGGTTTATCATAATGTTAGCTTGCCATGCTAAAATAGCAGATTTCCTTTTCAGACTCCATCCTTTTGATTTAAGTGTAAACTCTGTAACATAAGGTTCTTGTTTGAGGTGTTTTGTGGAATTTATACTGTTCCTAAATTGCACATTATTGATTTCTTCTGACTCAGATAACTGAAATATAGAAAAACAAAAGGTCAACATAGATATGAGAAATTAGTTGTTTTCCTTTTATCTTAGAAGACAGCACCTTATACATTACAAATAATTCCAGTGCGTTCAAACATTTGTAGTGCTAATGTGTTTTTGCCGAGCGGGTGATACAATTCATGGCAATCTTAAAATAAGATATTCAATAACAGCATCAATGGAAGTCAAAACACCAGAATGAAAATATTCTAAAGAGAATGGTTTTTGCATTAAAAGCTTTAAATTACGGCAGATCTTCAGTGCTCATTACACCAGGAATCTTGTTCACCCCACACCTTCAACATGGCCACAGCAAAGTAGGTGCTAGGCACTCATAGTACTGCATCCAAATCTGATGTTGACCACAATGTACCTTGATGTACAGATATCCAGCTAACATACGCAGACTGCCAAGTTTGCAATGATATTAATACTTAATGCATTTTTGGGGACATGTCCCCTTCATCAGAGCACCATCAGGACTTACAGTCTTGACATTTGTGATATGGTAAGATTATGGCTTTACTATGCTGGCTGATGTCAAGAGAGCTCCAGGGAATTGTTGTGTTAATGGGCTTCTGATGTCAACCATGTGTGCAGGAATTCTGTCTGGCAAAAAGATAGGTTAGACATTGCTGTGGTGTTTAGGACACAGGTCTCAAATCTAAAGAGTTGGATAATTAAACATTCTTTTTTCCTTACTTACATTTTGTTCTGAATGACTAAAGTTACTTTTTCAGCATTGGCCTACCAGCATTGTGTGGTAAATACAAGCTTGGCCTTTCTACACCCCATGTTTTATTTTTATATTTTTGTCTTTCTCTAAAGACTATGAGGGTTATTCACAAAGCTAGCCAAAGGATCAGCCATAGCTCCGGCTGATCTTTCGGCTAGCTTCGGCCGTCTGAGCCCTTTGGTTCAGTCGAACCAAAGGGCTGCTGTACGGGCTATTCACTATAGCCCATACAGCTCCCAAAGCTAACCAAGTGGCTCAGTTGAGCTAAAGGCATATGCTTCGGCCCGACTGAGCCAAAGTGAAACCCAAATCGGGCCAAGCAGCCGGCCATTGGCCGGCCAAAAGCCTCACAACTGACAGCTGGGCGGAGACCTGGGGACGCTGAACTGTCATTACACAATGATAACTTGGCAGATCTGTCATTGCAACTGGCCAGAGCCAGCCCTTTGATTTACAGCCGGCTCCACCAAGTTGTTATTCATTGGCCGGGACCTGCTAGAAGACTCTAGCAGGTCCCGGGCAATAGGAAACAGTTGGGCGGAGCTAGCTGTCAAAAATAAAATTTTTAGCAGTTATCATTTATTCACCTTTGAAACATTTTTTTTCTACTTTTCTTTTTTTTCTACTTTTTGCACTGATTTTCTATTCTGCTCGGTACCACGGAGGTACCGAGCAGAATAGCCGAGCTGAATGCCGGTCTCATGAACCAGTACTGTCTGAAACCAGCCCCAAAATTTAGTATTAGTATGGAACAGTAAATACACTAACAACAAGAAAATGTAATGATTCTGGAATTAGAGTTATTTTTGGTGGGGCTGAGTGTCAAAGCATATATTTTACACTTATTTTCCGGTAGAAAAAGACAATTACCCTCTATGGCATACTAGCGACTTCTACAGAAAAAGTTATTTAATTATTCAAAATTTTCATTTGTCTGTTCAGGTTCTATTATTATCAATATTCTTAATGCCTGTGGCATTTTATTCAACACAGAGGACACAAATGTACTGGAATTATTTAAAAATAAAATTTGCCCCTTCAACTGTACACAAACTGACATTGTTACAAACCTTAATTTCACTTTTTAATATACCAAATAAAATCCTGGTTTGTTGATTCCATTTCATATTTAACCAGTTAAAATTATACCACAAAGTAAGATATGTTTTTATTTATCAAATGGGAACAGTTGTAAGATCCCACCTTCACTTTGGAAGCCTTTCCCCATATTTAAAAAAACTGGTGGCATCACTGGTCCTTACGTTTCTCCTTCTCTGGCAGTAGGTAGCTATTACTCCTGCACTGAACAAAAGGACATTCCTTTCACTGCCATAGTGCTCTAAGCTCAAGCCACAATGATGACACACTCCCAGGAGGTGGTCCACGATAGCCTGGGCTTGGAGGAAGTGGGTTAAATTATGCTAGGCATCATTCAACCCAGTTGGCAGGCAATATCTCGAGAGTTATTCACAAAGCTGCTGAAGGATCCCACCATAGATTTGGCTGATCCTTCAGCTAGCTTCGGTTACGGGAGCACTGCGTTTCAGTAGAATCGAAGGGCTGCTGTACGGGTTATTCACTATAGCCCGTACAGCTCCCGAAGTTGGCCGAGCGGCTCGGTCGAGCGGAAGGCATTGTCTTTGGCTTGACTGAGCTGAGGTGAAATCCAAATCTGGCCGAACGTACAGCTGGGCGGAGCCAGCCATCATCAGCCTGCTACGGACATCTTGGCGCAGCAAGCCATCATCTCACGGCTGGCTCCGACCACTTGCAATGACAGTTCAGCGTCCCCTGGTTACCAGGTAACCAGGGACGCCGATCTGTCATTACAATGAGAACTCCGCCGAGTTCTCAGTGTGTAATGACAGTTCAGCGTCCCCTGGTTACACAGTAACCAGGGAATGCTGAACTGTCATGAGAGCTTAGTGGAGTCGGCGGGGATATCAAAACTGGCTCTGCTAAGCTCTCATTGTATCCCACCAGGTAACCAGGGGACGCTGATCTGTCATTACAATGACAGCTTAGCGGAGCCGGCTTTGATATCACCGCCGCCTCTGCCAAGCTCGCATTGTAATGACAGCTGGTCCCGGCCAATAGAAAACAGTTGGACGGAGCTGTCACTGCTAGCTCCGCCCAATCGTTTTCTATTTTCTTTCTACTTTTTTAACTGGTTTTCTATTCTGCTCGGTACCACAGAGGCCTATTCACTCACTTCTTTTCTGCTCGGCGGCATTTGGCTATTCACTCACTGCTATTCGGCCCCTATGAGAATAGGCCGAACAGCAGTGAGTAGCCTGCCGGAGGTTCGGCTCAGCCAATCCAGATGTTGGATCGTCTGAGTCGAACTTCTTCTGCACTTTAGGTCGGTCAAACATGCTGAGCCGATGTACAGCTTATTTAATTCTTGGTACGGCTAAAATCAGCCGTACAAGCCTGAAGTGAAGAGCCGAACAGAGTTTGGCTCACTTCACTTCGGGTCGGTTATTCACACGGCTGCCTTCGGCAGTTTTGTGAATAACCCTCCTAGTGTTTTAAAATAATTACCTTGGGGAAAACACTGTAATGAAAGTAGGTATTGCAGCATTAACTGATTTTTTTTTAATTTTTACTTTTGATAAGCAAATGATTTCCAATTTTTAATACTACTGGAGTTCTGCTTTAAGTATATGTATTATGAAAAGTATATATACAATAAATTATCTCAGGGTGTAATTCTGCATTGGATTTATATTGAACCCAGTATGTGACTACTTAGAACCAGACCTTGCATCCAACTGGCATCTCTTGGCAGAATTCTGCAAAAAAAAATGGATAGAGGTCATTATCACCCAGAGGAAACGGAGACTAGATCATATATCTAAGGAAGCTGCTAGCCTCCGTCACAATATTCAAGACCTTTTTGGGACCTAATGCCTTTTAAGCCCATGGATGTCCAACCTAAATCACAAAACTCACATACATGAAAACAACATCATTAGGTCCAAATCCAAAAAACTGACAAGGGACATCCGTGACTATAATCTCAACAGAGTTTTATGTTGGAAACAGATTCAGCAGAGTCACTCTGCACACCTACCCAAACCAACTTGCCTCTTAGCCACCCGTTACCCACTACCAGAGTAGCTGGGTTAGTATGGGATGATAACACCCTTAGATATCATCCACAATCGACACGTTCCTCCAGTACGATGGCTTGCACACCACAGGCTAAGCAGATAGATCCATCCACTTCCCATCCGGTCCCCCCTGCTCCAGTTCTGGCAAGCATACCGGCTAATTCTAATCACCATTCGAGGTAGACGAGGCCCATATAGTCTTAGCAGAAGGTTCAAGAGAACCTCCAACCCTTTACAGTGAGTTCTCTCAGGCCCCACCGATTCATTTTTTGGACCTAGGCTCCACACACCCTCCAAAAATAAAAATAAAAACACGAGAAGAGAAATCAGAGCAGGTAAACACTGCCAAATCCCCAAAAAAGAAACAGCTTTACAGGAGAATCCTCCACCATTAAAATGTTCAACCTCTCAAAACATCAGCTAAGTATCAGCGAGACATCCTTGCTCAAAAAAGGCCTCAACTTTGCCCCAGATGTCACTACGGACTACTTTACCGTATTCAAGGACCTCAACAGGTTCATTAGACTCCTCACTCTTAGGAGGCATTACAGCAACACCAAATCCTCCTTCCCATCTAAAAACAGCTTCCAGAATATGGTACCCAATCATGAGATCCTGATAGATATCTTTGATGAACAAGATGGAGATGTCCTTAACACTCTATACGAATTGGCAGATTTAAACTCGACCCTTTCTTTGGATTTCGAGTCCTTCATCACCCCTGACATAATTCAGACCTCCCTCAGACCTAAATCAACTTTCTTCCCGGTCCATTCCAAAGGACCTTTCATAGATACGCTCTATCATGTAGTGTTTGCCGACCTACAGGAAGTTTGTAAAAACGCCAAACATCAGCCTAATCTGACTTTTCTGGAAAATAAGGCATTGAAAGATCTAATCTTGAATAAGAATATTGTGATTAAACAAGCTGACAAGGGAGGTGGGATCAGCATCCAAGACAGTTCGGTTTATTTCACTGAAGCCTTGAGATTACTTTCAGACACCACCACATACACACCTCTACTCTTAGATCCATTACCTGCGTTCTCCAAAGAACTTGAAAACCTCATCCTTCTAGCATTCAACAGTGATATCATCAATAAAAAAAGAAAAAACTTTCCTCAATCCGAAATTTCCCAGCACTCCGTATTTTTTACCACCTCCCCAAAGTACACAAAAACTTGGAAAATGCCCCAGGGCGCCCCATCATCGCCAGCACTAACAGCCTGACCAGTGGCCTCTCTATTTATATAGACCACTTCCTCCAACCCATCGTGTCATCCCTCCCCCCGTCCCATATAAAAGACTCTATACACCTCATTCAGACCTTATCATCTTACAAATGGGACCCCACTTATAGCTGGATCTCGTTAGACGTCACCTCCTTATATACATCAATTCCTCATCCTGTGGGTCTCAATGCTCTGCACTATTTTCTTGCCAAATCTTCCACGAATCACAGCCAAACACAGTTTATCTTGAACTGTACAGAGTTTGCCCTTACACATAATTACTTTTCCTTCTTGGGCAAGTTCTATTTACAGACACAAGGAACAGCCATGGGGGCAAACTTTGCTCCCAGTTACACTAATCTAACTATGGGCCACTGGGAGGCACTCCACATTTGGAACAATAACCCATTTGCTAAACGACTAGTTTTCTATGGTAGGTATATTGATGACATCCTGATTATTTGGGATGGCCCTACCGACGATGTGCCCGAGTTACTCGCCCATTGTAATAACAACCAGTTTGGGCTGTCCTTTACCCTGGAGTCCAACAACACTGAATTGGTGTTTTTGGATCTCAAATTGTCCTTTAAAAACAACGATATCATTACCAATAATCATGTTAAACCAACTGGTGGCAATTCTTATCTGCACTATAAGAGTTGTCATCATCCGAGATGGAAGAATAATATCCCCAAGAGCCAATTCTGTAGACTCAGGAGAAACTGTACCCAAAATACAGATGATAACACATAACACTAGCCAACTCACCCTCAATAAATTTAGAGAAAAGGAATATCCGGAGGATGTCATTATGGAGGCATTCTACGGCTACTCAGAAGGGGACCGCCCCTCGGATTCAAAACATCATCCAACCACTAGTGAAGATAAAAAAAAGATTCATCACCACCTTCAATAACAGTTTCACAGCTATTCAACAAGTCATACATAAACATTGGCATATTTTACAAAAAGACCCCAAATTGGGTCCCAACTTACCATCCAATCCGTCTATTAATTTTAGGAAGTCTAAGAGCATTAAAAATATGGTAGGTCCCAGACAATCTTTCCAAGGCCCGGAAGTTCGTCCTAAACATTTTCTTTTTGATAATAGAACTGGATTTTTCCAATGTAAAAAATCGAGATGTCTGACTTGTCAGTTCATCCAGCACGGCCAAACAGTGTTCTACGATCATCTTCAGAACCCCCACATTATCAAACAATTTGAAACCTGTTCCCATGACCACATGGTATATGGTCTAAAATGCCCATGCGGTCTGATTTATGTGGGTCGCACCATAAGACCTCTACGCGCCAGAATCGGTGACCATAGACGCCTGATAGAAAAGGGAGACGTAGAACACAGTGTACCAAGACACTTCACGTTCAAACATAATAAAATAATTCAACATCTTCAGGTGTTCGTCATTGAACACATTTCAAATCAATTATCCCCTTCTGAAAGGCTTCACCTTCTTTGCAAAAGAGAGACCTATTGGATATATAAATTAAATACCCTGGCCCCAATAGGTCTCAACGAGGAAATCGAAATTCACACTATTTTGGAAGCCCAGGGTTGAAGTACTGTTTGGTTTATGTCACTGTTCCAATCATGATGTTTTTAATGTATTCATTTATTTACTTTTTTCCACCATCTCCTAATCAATTAGTGAGGCTTTTAAATACACCTGGTATTGGATGTGCCATCAATACTAGATGCACTCAATCTGTCCAAATACTGTTTTAATAAAATGTTGATGGATAGATTTTTTATCTCTCATAATAAACCCTTTTAACTAGTTTTAACCTTATTTCTACATATATACACTTTTTAATATCAATCTTTTTGAGTGCTGAGCACACCCATTAGACATTTAGTCCTCCCGGAATCTCCATATATTACTGAGGGCAGCAGAACAAAAAGGATTTGTGATCTATATGTGCCTCTATGGCCGTAAGATGTAGCCTAAGATCGGGATTGGGGCGTGTACCTATGTCCGACTCGCCCTCTCTCCACAGCTCCACCTATCAGGACGGTGGGACTGACGCTGATCCCTCCCAGCTGTCAAATTTAAATGACAGTAGTCTCCCGCAATTTTGTTCTTCTTTCTGACCCGAGCTTGACAAAGAGGCAGTTGCTTCGAAACGCGTAGCTACCAACCACCACAGCGTGTGGCCGTTATTGCTTCTTGCCGCAACGACTCAGCCCGGCCAGCTGATTTCGTGTGGCAGACAGCTGCCCTTCCACTACAGCTATCGCCCTATCAGGCATTTACTTCCCCATTCCATTGGGCCGAATCAGGGTGCAGCTTTCCAGGGGCTCCACCCTTCAGAGGACATCTTAAATGTGAGTTTACATTTACTTACTACAATAGTAGCGCTCTCAATACACTTTGTTTCTATTAGGTTGTCACAGGGTTCCTCTCCCTGTTCTATATAGAGCTTGCACACTGTAATTCCTGCCTGTGAATACCCCTCCAATTAGTTGTTATCCCTTGGTAGTGTGCTTGCCCATTTTTTTCTTTTTTTGTATTCATGCCGACACTATCCCTTCTGGAGGGTAGCTACTTTTTTTCCCTGTGCATGTGTTAAAGTAGCCACCTCTACAAGCTAGCTTCCATGATATATACATATATATATATACAGTATATTCATATATAGTAGAAGGGTGTGGCAATGTCACAATGTAATTTGGCAACACAGTCCCCAGGAACACTCAGTTGGAGCGGCTGAGAGGTTCTAGGATGTTGGAACTTTTCCAGGTAAGAAACTGACTTTTAGGTTCCTTCCAGGTTTTCCGGACTATAGTGTGATGGAATCTCTATTCCTGGGGCCAGGTGTTGCCAATGACCACTATAGGTGGATCAGGTGGCTGAGAGCAGCCTTATTAGGAGTCTGGACCAGAGTTCCGGGGAGTTGTGTGTGCAGGAGGCACACGGCCACAAGCATACTCGGGTGTGTGCTGGATGCACATGGAACAGCCAGGGGAGGCTGGGAGAGGTCAGGAAGGTTGGTGTCCCAAGCGACCTAGTGGACACACTGCTGAGAGAGTCAGTGATCCACGAGGGGGAACAGCGTGAGTATCACACAGAGGTGTGATGAGAGGCTTGGAGCTGAAGAAAGCTACTGAGCAAAACTGAGGACTGTATATGCTGAAGAAAAGCAGATTATTATGAAAATGTTGGCTCTTTTGTGAACAAAAGACTGTTGTTTATGCTGCTGCTGGAAGCTGTCTTGTGTAACAGAGGAAGTCTACCCTGTTGATGGAAAGATACTTTTTGTGTTTGCCCTTAAAAAAAGTGTGTTCTACTTGCATTTTCACTATAATTAGCTATAATTTCGCGCTGAAGTTGCTAGAGGGCCAGACCATTATAAATAGGGAAGCAGGTTGTTTACCACAACAGTAGAAGTGATTTTTTTCTGAAGATATAGGTAAACAATGCAATTTAACAGCCTTTGAACGTGGGATGATTGTTGCCGCTCAAGCCATGGAGTGAGTATCAGCAAAACAGCAGAATTCATTAAATGTTCAAGAGCAGCTGTGGTTAAAGTGTTTATAGACTGGACTGTCAGCCGAAAATCTGGGTCTGAACGTGCAAATTGTGAGTCACGAGGCGGCCCAATACAGATATCTATATGATTATATGATATTTTTTATATAATACAAATATTGTATTATGGTGAGAGGAATGAGACCTTATGGCGCCTGCTTTTTTGAGTGGTGGGTAAGTAAGCAATAACTATAGGCAATGGCACTAATTGCTAATATGCTTTAACAATGACCAAAAAAGCATTTTAAAATGCACTAATATGCATTTTAAATTTGCATTCAAATAGTGCAAAGTTGCTAGTGGGATACTACAGCAAGCACTTGCAAGTCTGTACATGACAGTGATTTTTTTCCTAGCCTTGTATATATTGATGTGACACTGAGATGGAATATACTAATACAGCAATAAACTGGTGCAAATGGATCTAACATGCATCTGATGTATAAAAATCTGACACTGAGCTGGTATATAATATTATTTCATTAACAATCCTTTATCACATATGACGTTGAATCTGTAGATAGCAACATGACCAAAGCTCTTATTTAATATTAGGAGCTGGTATATAATGTTGTGGCAATACGTTGTGATATAATAATTTGACATTGACCTGATGTGCTTAACCTTCCTACCTTTTAAGAGCTATACTACCTACCTGCCTGCGAGTGTTACAACAAATGCACATGTTGTTGCCAAATGATGTAAATGTATGTAACTCCAATTTTGTATTACCCCCAAACATCTGTCTTCAGTAAAACACCCAGATTCAAAGCAAACTATAATTTGTC